GCCTGCCCATTGCTCAAAAGCCCCTTTATTTCTTCATTTAAGGCTTCAAAATAACCAAGGGTGTCCAGCTATCTTATTGAGGTCACAGGACAATGGGAGAATAGATTTAAAATGTTTGAAGTTAAGGAAAATGAAAGGAGGAAAAAAAGCTAACCCATAACACAAGAGCTTCCTCTTAGGCTAAAAGGAAACCAGTAAAGTCTAAAATTAACTCTGATCCATGAAGAGAATTCTACACAGGAAACAGAGCTCCCTGTGATTTGTGAACCAGTGTAAGAGAACAAAAACATGGGTTTCCCTCTGTTTACCCTCCCAAAATCAAGTGAGCTCACTGTTCACTAATCAATTCCCAATACTCCAAGCAAAGAGAAGCTATTGGAAGAGAAAAAAGCAGCCTGAGAGTCAAATTCAAATTCTCTGTGAGATAAGCCGTCTGCTTGGAATGCTTAAAAGCAAAGCTTGACCCTGACTTCAAGTAAGCATGGGGATTTCTCTTGTTATTATCATTGAAGAGTGAGAGGTACAAGTGTAGCAGCATCTGCCTTCAATCCCTTCCTGATTGGTTAAGGTTAGAATAACTTTGTATTGTTCTTTTCATAAAAGGTAAATCAGCTACTGAGGAGAAATTAAAGGAAGTAAAAGAAATTTACATACAGGGGTCCATAAACAAGTCAACAGTGACTTGCTGTAAGGGAAACAGGATTTCAAATACATGTTTGGAGAAAGCTAGTTTGCACCTTAATTTCTCAAGACTTAATTATAGAGATTTTTTTAAAGATCCAAGGACCTCATTTAAGTTCCTAGTATTTCTCAGAATCCACACATTGGCCAAATTCAAGAGAACAATTAAACTCTGCCCATAAAGCCTCAGGTGGGGGTGGGAGATGTAGCTAGAGAGAAATAGACTTGTTCTGATTTGTACACAAACATGATTGCCATAAGCCAATGTGATTTCTACAGGAGGAAAAAAGTTAATGAGAGCTCTCCTCTGAGCACCTACAATTCTTCTAGACCAATAATTCCTAATCTTTTTTAGTATGAGGAGCCCCTTTTAGCATCAAAAAAATTTCAGCCTCCCCAACATGTTGGCGACTTTACTAGTAATATCCATTGACTGAAAAATGATGTAATGACAAAAGGCTACTGTGAATTCAGTAGTACTTTTAAATCAACTAAGTCATAAATCATTTATATGTGCTTAAAAACAGTAATATGTGCAAGACATTGTTTATTAAGTCTTCTAAATGGCCATACTTAACATGCATATGGATTCATAGGCCACTTGCAATAACTCTGTGCACCCCACACACACACACACTCCATCCCAGAGTCTCTGATGATAGATTGGGAACTACTGTTTTAGAATGTAGCATATAATTTAGATCTTGATTTTATACTGTCTTACATTGTTTTCTAATTGATTCATGTAAGTCTCATCTCCTCAACAAAATTCCAAGGACAGGCACTATGTCTTATACTTCTTTTATGCCCCCTATGGTGCCCACCACAGTGCTTGGCACATTGCTGAGTACTCAATAAAGACTAGGTGGTTGGATTCATTTCAGAGACAAGTTAAAGATTTGTCCTGTAAGAGGAAATAATGGTATGTATAAATACAGGCAAATATGAACTTCAAAGAACTTAAGAAAATTAATTCTTCTGCCAAGGTCTGTCTTTCCCTCATGCAGAGGTTCAGCATGTCCTTACAAGTGAAACAGTATGCAGAATGTGGCTCTTTGAACTTATCTGTTTTGACAGGGTATTAGCTCTAGGAGGAATACACATCTCCCACAATCATAAATTGAGATTCCAAATTTTTCTTAAAATTGCATTTCAAATTTAACATATAGATCTTACTCTTAAGAATATAATAACTGCCAATCAACTTCATAATTTTAACTCAAAAAACATACTTTTGCCACTAAGAAACTTCTTTTAGAAAAAAAAGCTACATAGCTGTGAGTCACAGACTAAACAAACCAGTTCCCGTGTGCTGGCCTTACTTATTATGAACAGCTGGGACAAACTGTATTAATCTATTTACTACAGACAGCTGTGGCCTATTGTCAATGTAGTCAGCAAATTAAGATGTCACCAGATCCAAAATAAAAATATAGATTTGTAATTGACATTTTTCATTGTCCCTCAAATTCTTTTCTCCATCAGCCTACTTGAACCTTTAAAAAAAAATGCAGTATAAATTTACTTTGCAAATATGAAATGTGCAGACACAAGAGATGGTGAAAAAAAAAACAGTTGTTCTCTCTTTCCTTCAATGCATCCTTTAACTTTACAAGCCTCTCTTAAGAAAGACTATGCCAGATCTCTCCTGCCTACCTGTCTAGGAGACAGTACAACATGTCACAGCCAGAACAATGAACTATGAAGAGATGATTCTGGGATTTTTTCTGCACACCACCATGCTCAGAAACAGGAAGATCTGGGTTTCAATATGGTCTGTGACACATGCTGGCTGTGTGACTGCAGGAAAGTCACTTGACATCTCAGGATCCCGACTATGTAAGAATCTGAGGGGAAACCCTGCCTGGGCAGAGGGAGTTGCCTCCACCAGAGTTCTCTGTGCCAATGAAACTGCAGTCTAGACACAACAGAGATACTAGAAGTAACAGATGGGCACAGATCTGCAGCACAGATCGGCAGCCACCTCCTCCAGGATGCCTTTCCTGATTCTTCCAATCATTACCACATTTCCTTGCCTGAAATTATTTCCTTGAATTTGGTATTTACTTACTTGTGCACATATTGTATTCCCCCCTAATAGAATGCAACCTCCTGGAGGCCAGGAACTGTTTTGTTTTTAATTTTGTACCCTAGCAGCATCCAACAAAGGACCTTGTACAGAATAAATGCTGAGGAACATTTAGTGAATTCAATTGTGATGACTCTCACAGAAGTGGTGATGAAGATAACATCTTGGGGAAGTTTATTAGTTTCAATAATCCTTATCCAAATAAATTTGCTATATTGGGATTGGGGCATGAAAAACCTCTTGTAATCAGGGAATCTCATGCTTCAAGGGTTGAATGAGAATTCTCACATTCCCACAAACTTGGATGTCTTCTATAGAAAGAAATACAAACAGAATTGAAGGGAGGGAAAATCATTAAAATGATGTGTTTACCTCATGAGAAATGTAAAAACCCTATGATAGATGGTTCACACTTCCTCAGAACCTAAAGCACAAGAGGGCAAGGACCATTTTGTACATGAATTCCATAAAGTGCCTGATAGGCTGTGGCTGCTTAATAGATGTTAGCAATATCATTTACATCTGGAGGATTCTAAACTGCTAATAATTTTCCCTGTAGATATTCCTTCATTCATTCAGCACCTACTTAACCAAACTAACTGCAAGTATACAACAAACAGAAGGAAGAGCACAGCAACCTACTGCTTGATAACCCCGAGATCCCAGCTATTGGACCAAGAACTCACTAGTCAACAAAAACTGCTAGGAAAACTGGAAAGTAGTATAGACTAACATCTCACAGCATCTACCAAGATAAGCTCCAAATGAACCTAAAGGGTGACACTATAAGCAAATTAGAGGAGCGTAGAAGAAAACAAGATTTGTGAATAGAGAAAGAGTTCATGACCAAATAAGAGATAGAGAGGTTCACAGGAGGCAAAATGGACAATTTTGATTACATAAAATTAAAACAAGTTTCTCTGGTTAAAGTCTCATTTCTAAGATATATAGGGAACTGATGCAAATTTATAAGAATAGAAACCATTCTCCAATTTATAAAACAGTCAAAGGATATAAATAGACAGAGGAAGAAATACCAGAGGAAGAAATCCAAGCTATAATAACCATAAGAAATAATACTCAATCACTAATAAGTAGAAAAACGCAAATTAAAATAAATGAGGCACTACCTTACCTGCTTCAGATTAGCAAAGTTAACCCAAAAATAAAATTTACAAATATTGGAGGGGTTGTGGTGAAAATACGTATTTTAATGTACTATTGGTAGAGTTGTGAATATGTCTGGACATTTTGAAAGACAATTTGAAACTATACACAAAAGCTAATAGACTATGCACTCCCTTTGACCCAGCTATATCACTACTAAATCTATACCTCAAAGGGATCAAAGAAAGAGGAGGAAAAAAAACCTCATATGTACAAAGATATTTATAACAGTTCTCCTCATAGTGGCAAAGAATTGGAATCCAAGAAGTGCCTATCAGTTGGGGAATGGCTGAAGTTATGGTATATGAAGGTGGTGAAATACTATTGTACTACAAGAAATTATGAAGGGGGAGGTTTCTGAAAAACCTGGGAAGACTTGTATGAACTGATGCAGTGAAGTGAGCATAACTAGGAGAAAAATTTATGCGATAAATGATATATTGTTTAAAAAAAAAGGCAACTTTGAAAGACTGAGGGAACTCTGATTAACATATTCAATAGCTATAAATCCAAAGGAGTCATGATGAAACATGTTATCCACCTCCAGATAGAGAGCTGATAGACTGAGCATGAAGACTGAAACGTATTTTCTTTCTTTTCTTGTATAGGGAGGACATAGCTATCTCAGGTTTCATTTTTCTTGCCTTCTCAATGGGTCAGAGAGGGGGAAGGAATGAATTTGAAACTCAAAATAAATGAAATTTAATTTAAAAAATTAAGTTGATGCTATGGCCTGAATTGTAGCAGTAACTATAATAATGATGATTAATAATAACAGTTCTATGTAATCATGAAAATATTGAAAATTTGGGGGAAAAAGAAAAAGCTAGAAGAACAAAAGGTCCACTGTAAACTTCTGTATGGATTTCCCATGAGGCAGTTTTCTTAGGCCACTCAGCTCTATACGCCACCATTCCCTGCAAAGGTCTTTCCTACTGGTTAATGTTTCATCACACACCTTTACATCAGCACATACAGAGAAGGGGGTTCAGCATTCATTTTATCTATCTTCATTCTGCCAATAGCTTTGTTCTGGTCAGCTTTCAAACCTCTAAAGTCTTACCTGTCCAAGAGCAGCTCCAGTACTTCCTTAGTGGAGGCAAAGCCCCTATAAGTTGACAGGAAGATGCTGATATAGGTAAAGTCATTGTCTCCAAAAGCTGTCAACAAGTTCTCCACGAGTTTCTCCAAGGTACCGGCTTTTATGGTCCTGATTTTACATGTCTCATACTGGCTGACTGTATGTCCAGGAGGCAGTTGGTCCCCTTCAACCTATACAGTGAATCAAAGAAAATGCACTGAAGAATAGTCCCCACAATAGAGCTAAAAACACTGAAACTCATTCAGGATAATGTCAGTTATGAATAATGATGTCATCCACTATATATGTGTGTATACATATATATCTGTATATGTATATAAAACTTTTACATTTGCAAAGAATTTGTTTCCATCATGACATCCTTGAAAGGCAGTACAAAATTATCCCCATTTTGTAGATGAGCAAACTAAGGTTCAGAAAGTTAAACTGACTTGCCTAAAGCTACCCAGCTATATGAGTTGGAGCCAGAATTAGAATCCAGGTCTCTTTACTCTAGATCCAGTGGTACTTCTGCTCTCCTGTCCTGCATTCCATAAAAAAATATAACTAAGATTGATACAGTGCTTTAAATTTTACAGAACACTCTATGAATTTTATTTTATGTGATCTTCAACACAACTGTGTGAGGGAGGGCATTATCATCTTCATTTTATGGAAGGGAAATTTGAGGCTCAGAGACATTTGCCCACAGACATGCAGCTAATAAGCACCAGTGTGGTATTGTGAGTCCAGCACTCTTTCCAGCAAAAACAAAACAAAACAAAACAAAACTAGAACAACATTATTGTTTTTATAGGATCACAGAAATTAGAAGAGACTTGGAAATAATCTAGTCTAACCCTCTTGTTTTACATATTAGAATCTGAGGCCTGGAGATGCTATGTGATTTTACCTAAGGCCATAGTCAACTAACATGCGATAGTTTCATGCAAAGGAACCCTCTGTGTGTTTCTGCGGTCTACTTCCTTTTGCCTTTCTGTCTCACTTTCTCCCTTCCTAGTATTACAGGTATCACTTCAGAGTCAGGCCATTGGCTATTTTAGCTGTCTCCTGCTATGTTAGGCTGGGTTGCTGGCATGTTTTGTCAGGGTAGCTTCTGAAGGATTTCTAGGAACCTGACTGACTGCCATTCCCTGAGTATTCTTACTAAATGCCATCTAGAGCCTCCCTTTCCGCTGTTCTTCCAATGACACACTCATATGGAATGTTGGCAAAAAAAAAATCTTTGGAGACAATTCCATTTAGATATCATCCTTGAAGAAGCCTCTAGTCTTCTCCTTTCCCAACAATGAATGTTGAGTATACCAAGATCATTCAGAGCTTTGACCTGAGATCTTTTCACCCATGGGTCTCAAAGCACATTAGAATTAGGTATTTTCAGTTAATTAGTAAATGCTACTCTCACCCATTGAGCAGACAGCACTAGGCTCTGAGAGAGTTATAAAAGAAAGATGTGAGGACTTGAGCCCTCTTTTCTAGGACTACATAAACTCAAAGAAAATAAAACAAAAGAAGCAAGTAATACCAATAGGTTTATTCCAGAAAGACAAAGAGATGAGCACCTAAGGACTGAGGACATAGATTTTAGCAGACTAATATCTACTATGTGCAGCTTAAAAGGAAAAAATATGTAGCACAATTAGAGGAGGAAGGCAGAGAATATCAGGCAAATATATACATATGTGTGTATATATACATATATACGTATATACACATACACGCACATAGAGTATGCTTTCCTTTACACAAATGTTTCTGAAACTTACATTTACATCAAATTTTCAAAAACTGAATCATATTTGACTTGCACTCAACAAACTGCCTCCTTCAATGTAATTATGTTATAAATGCTTTCCCAAAGCAGGCAATCCTGGTACGAAGTCAGGAATCATTTCACAGGTTTTCTGGGTTGAGCTGAATTTCTAATTTCAATTTTATAAAGTCAAAGTATGCTAGTCTATGCAAATCAAGGGTACTGGGCAAAGAAAAGAGAGAACTGAGTCTATAAATGAAGAAATGTTGGTCACTAAAGTTCTGTACATTCTCTCTATTAGGCTTCTTAGAACTGAAAGCAATTATGAGAAAACTAGCTGATTTTATATGAACTGTGGCAACTAGTAGTAGCCACTAGTTTTTAAGGGAAGTTGGAATAAGTTGGCATCATGATGCCCAACTACCTTAAACAACACTAAAATCCTAATAGCAGGATTTGTAACATCAAAGTTGGCTTTCTTTCCTGATCTTGTTTTTGAAAAGGGCTTTCCTTAGTGTGATCTTGTGGTTAGAGCAAATGCTGGACATGCTTTATGGCTTACAGAAACCTCTTGACACTAAAAGGAGTCAAAGCATGACCTAACTTAGCCTTTCTGGACTTAAAATGTTATTAAGTGGTTATGATGATATGCATTAAATATAGAATAATTTTTTAAATTATGCAGTAAATCAATATACTGCATATACATGCTCTTTTCATTTTAATTTTTTTTCAATTTTAAGAAAGGCCAGTTTATTCTAAAAAAGCAGTTTTCATTTTCGGCTTTAACTCGTACACACGCACACACACACGCCCTTTGAACTGGGGTGATAGTCTTTCTTCATCTTTCAGTTCAGAAGTAGATGGTTTATGTTTTCTGTTCTGCCACTTCAAAAGCCTGACCAAAACAGTTACCAGGATGGATAACATTCAGCTGCCCTAGGTAGTTCTCAACAAGAGTAAACTCCAATGTTAACCACTAATAACAAGAGAAATGTCTGAGCTTTTAGAGATTTTCAAAGTCCTATTCAAAAGCTGCCCCTCATCTAGTTACAATTTCAGGGCCCCCCAAATTGCCAGATCATCCTCTACTTTGATGTCACTGGTTTAAGCCAAATGTTTAAATTCCGATCTCAAACTAAATCCTCCATTCTTAAATTTAATGACTATTTAAAAAGACTCTTTTTCAGTGGAAATAAATGTGGCCAAAAGACTCAAACAGAGGGGGAAAAATGCTTGTCAAAGAACATGATGAAGTGGGTCCCTTTCTCTGCCAGAAAGTGGACTTGGCAGGAAGCAAAGGTTCTCCCTGAAGAGTGGAATTATTTTACTCATTAATCCAGCCACTTCCTTTCATTTCTCCTTTCACCCTGAAAAATATTCATTTGCATGCCTGACTCTGGGCAACTTCCTTTAACCTCTTTTGTTCCTCAGTTTCCTTATCTGTAAATAGGGAACAATAGCGCTTACATAAGAAACGAGAATGTAAAGTCCTTGGAGGTCTGGAGCTGAAAATCATTTTATATAAATGCAAAGAATTAACATCTTTGTTACCATGATAAATAGCAGAATAATAATAATCACTCTGATGCCTAGAAGAATTTTTTGCAAAGATTGATAAAGTGTGTGGGAGTGTCAATATATTACTGTATTTTTCATTGATTTCCTTCTAGTTATTAACAGGAAAAGGGCAATATTTTGAGGATGAACAAGTATCTTCTGGCATTCAAATATAATATGTATTTTAAAAGATTGTAACTATCATCTTACTGCTACCAGTTTTGATATTCAAGTACAATTAATTAAGAGAAAACACACAGAATGTCCTTTAATTCTAATGTGCCTATGGCTAGATTGGCAAAAATTAAACTTGGAAGTTTAATTTTTTAAATTTTTTCAGCAAAATATTGAACTACTATAAACCATTTAAGGGCCCTTTAGAGCCTGTTTTTATTTGTAATATTTCAACAACTCTCCCCTGAAGTTTAAAAGGCAAGCAGGGGAAAAGTCCTTGGCAGGCCAGTTTTTAATAAGAGATTTACAGAGTAAGACACTGTGGGCTGAGCTTGCCCCATGGGTTACCATACAACAGGAAACAGCTCAATCTGGATTTAATCAGAGACCACTGCTTTGCTGACATGATCCTGATATGAAGGCCACAAAAGAACTACATGTTTGTTTCTTGACCATTTTTCAGCTATTCGAATCCAGCTTCTTGTAAAAGAATACATCTAAATCTTCCAAGGTAAATGGCTACAGCATTCGTATTCCTCTTATTATCTAGTAACAGGGAAGGAAGAGGAAAGATAAGAAGTGTACCATATTTCAGTTCTCAAGCATGGCCTGGAAAAAGACACTCATCATCAGAAAAAAAAAATCTCATATTTCTACAATCTAACAATTACTTCCTCTAATCAAAAAGATACTGTACTTGATACTTTAAGAGGAAACTTAACAAGCTTCCTTTGATTACCATTTTTAGGGGAAGAAATCCTAGCAGATAGAACAATGGTGGGTGCTGGACCTACACAGGAAGCTGCTGCTGTTCAGTTATTTCTCAGTCACGTCCAATTCTTCATGAGCCCATTTGGGGTTTTGTTGGCAAAAATGCTGGGGTGGTTTGCCATTTCCTTCTCCGGCTCATTTTACAGATGGAGAACTGAGGTAAACAGGGTGAAGTGATTTGCCCAAGGTCATGCAGCTAGTAAGTGTCCCAGGCCACATTTGAACTGGAGAAGTCCTGATTCCAAACCCAATGCTCTAACCGCTGTGCCACCTAGCTACCCCAAAATTAGCAGAGGATGGTTTCAACCCATCAGCCTCTAGGTTATGGGCCCACCAGGCTTCCACTGAGTTCAAATCTTGACTCAGACACTTACTAGCTGTGCGACCCTGGACATGGTACTTAACTACTCTCTGTCTCACTTTCTTTACCTGTAAAATGGGGATAATAATAGCACCTACCTCCCACGGTTTGTGTGAAAATCAAATGTGATATTATTTGTAAAGTGCTTTGTAAATATTAAAGTTCTATACAAATGCTAGCTAAAGAAAAAAAAACCCAGACATTGATCAGGTTAAGCCAAGCCACTAATGAGTGCTATCTGAGGCATGACTATTTAAGTAGCCTAACATTCAAGCCCAGGTTTTTAAAAGCTATTTTTAAAAAAAAAGCATTAGATCCCACTATCCCCATCTCCACAAAGAGTGAATTTCCAAGTCTGGTTAGCCCAGAGAGGAGAGAAGTCTGAAAGAAATATTAGGTATCCAAGAACCCTTCAGGCCATTGCCGAATTAAAGGCTGATCATCCCTTCATCACTCAGGATCTTTTATAGACTTTAAATCTCCCTTTCCACCCAAAGGCATTATTCACCTCCTGAGAAAGAAGTATGCAAAGTGGCACTGAATGGGATGAT